GACTCCGTCGGCGGACCTCGAAGGACAGGCTGCGCCAGCTGAAGAACAGGATGTCTTTGGTAACGAGGAAGGCGCTGAGATACAGTACAAGACGTGCAAGTGGTGGTAAGTACACAATGTACCTGATGCTGTGTGCAGTGTCACTGAACGAGATTTAACGGTACTTTGATGCTCCTCGGCGTACGGCATGCATCGTTCGCGGGGCATAATATCCTTCTTTAAACTATCGCTGACTTTCTACTGCCAGGAATGTCGGAACTCGTAAGCCTCTCGTACCTTCGCACCATCATATAAATAACACAGTCAAGTCATGCTCGCAGAGAATGTCTCGTTAGGCGTTCTCGCCCTTCCCCAAGCGCTTGCGATTCTCGGCCTCGTCCCCGGTCTCCTCTGCATATGCTTCCTAGGCATCATCGCTACATACACTGGCTATTTGATCGGCGAATTCAAGCTGGCTCATCCGTCTGTAGCGAACTACGCGGACTGCGGCATGCTTATGAGCGGGCCAGTGCTTCGCGAGGTGCTTGCTGTCGGACAACTACTAGTCTTGATATTCATCATGGGGGCGCACATCTTGACCTTTGCGGTCGCGATGAATGCGATGACTGACCACGGCACTTGCACTATCGTCTTCACTGTCGTCGGACTGATCGTCTCCTTCCTGCTAGGATTGCCCAGAACGTTCAAGAACATCAGCTACTTTAGCTACTTTTGTAGGCCAAAGGATCCGATCGCTTCATGTGAACTCGCGACTGACACATTTCAGCTTGCGGTTCCATCATTGTGGCAGTTACGGTAACCATGATCGCGATTAGTATCCAGAAGCCAGACATGGGCAATATCGTTGCTGTGCGACCCGATGTACCACTCGTCAAGGGACTCGCACCCGTGAGTTAATTGCCGATGTACGAACTGCATGTGAGACAAACACTGACTTCGTACACCCCTATTTAGGTGATGAACATCGTCCTAGCTTACAGTAGGTTATTTCCCGTTCTGTGGTCATAAAGAAGTCTGCTAATCTCATACAGCTGGACACGTCGCTTTCTTCTCGTTCCAATCCGAACTCGAAGACCCGTGCGACTTCCGCAAAGCCCTCATCTTCGAGCAGGGTATCGCAGTCACATTCTACATGCTCATATCCGTCATCATATACTACTACGCCGGGCCTCTTGTAGCCTCGCCCGCTCTTGGTTCCGCATCCCCGCTCGTCAGCAAGATTTGTTTTGGCATCGCGCTGCCCACGATCATCGTCGCAGGCGTAGTCAATGGCTCTGTAGCGACCAAATACATCTACTTTCGTGTATGGAAGGGCACCAATGTAGCATCTACCAACAGCTGGAAGAGTTTGGGGAGTTGGGGCGCTATATGTACAGGCGCGTGGCTGGTAAGCTGGATCTTGGCTGAAGCTGTGCCGAACTTTAATTTGTTATTGGGACTGATAGGAGCTCTCTTTGGAAGCTGGTTTAGCTGTAAGTCACTACTAATACTACTCACTATGGACAATGATAGTTGCATTGGCTGACGCGTGTAGATGCCCTTCCTCCACTGATGTGGCTGTGGCACAATAAGAAGAACGGTAAGCTGTTCTCGTCGACTTCGCAAATAGCTTTTACCATCTTGAATGTCTCTATCGTTATACTAGGCATGCTCATTGTAAGTCTACTCTCCAAGACATTACAAGACGAGTGCTGACTCCGTGCTACAGTTCGGGCTTGGGATGTGGTCGTCTGGATGGGCGTTGAATCGCGGGTCTGGTGGCAAGGTGTTTTCTTGCGAGAATAACTGGCATCCTGTGAGCTGGGTTTCAGGAGGTACCAAAGATGCATAGATGTAGCGCATGAGCTGGAAGCGTGTTCTCGTGCTTTTTCAAGCTCGCGAACGGGTGTTAGGGGTGGAGAACCAAGACGTAGATTAATTAGAAGCGCAATTGTGTTGTAAATATCAGAAAATCAACGCATTCGATATCAATTGTGGGCTTTTCGGGAGACTGTGTTGCTGCTGAACAGTAGCATCGCGCAAGGGAAGCTATGACGCGCCGGGACCTGCACAACCGAGCGCTGCGCATCTCACGACTCCTCACTTCACGAGCCAATGACAAGCCTCTCCTACCCCAGTGCGCGTCCGAAATAAGCTGTTTCCCGAGGAAAAGACGCAGGCTCAGGTAATCTGGCTAATATCGATGTGGACGGGAAATGCCAAGTGAGGAGGCTGGACGACCTGGCCTCGCTCGGGCTCACCACGATGCTTACGCTGCGACCGTTGACTAGACGACGCACATATTATAGTTCTTACTGAATCAGGCCGAGGATATCTTTCCCGCGAACTGGCACGATTGTTCATATTGCGAAGGGTTGTACCACTGTTCCGCTGGTTTTCGTACTCCTGCCCTTAGCCAACCGTCCCACCTCGATTTCCACGAGCGTTCAAGCGTCCGACCCCGACCTCTTCCCTGCCCAATTTCCCCCTGATTGAAGTTTATACGTTCCCGCGACACTAAAGCGACTGCAACATCATCTCGCGACTCTATTCTCAACATGCCCGTCGAGCTCCGTAAGCGCAAGGAAGCACCCCCAGCGCCTGTGCGCCCGACGAAGAAGAAGGCGCCCGCCAAGGAGAAGAAGCCCGAGAGCGAGAAGACTGTCGTCGAGAAAGTCCAGGAAACCGTCACTGAGCAGGTCGAGGCTGTCAAGGAAGCTGTTGTCGGTAAGAGCAACGGCGAGTCCGCTGCCGCTGCGACCGGCCCACCCAAGGTCGGCGACACCATTGACCTCGCGTCCTTTGGCGGAGAATTTGAGACGAATGACGGAGACAAGACCACGCTTGCAAAGCTCGTAGAGGAGAGCAAGGGCGGCGTCGTACTGTTCACCTACCCCAAGGCTTCAACGCCAGGATGTAAGCCTCCAACCCCTGACAGCTCCTTCGCGTTCGCATGGCAGTACTAACGCGTACAACCACAGGCACAAAACAAGCCTGCCTCTTCCGCGACTCCTACGACCCCCTCACCGCAACCGGCTACTCCATCTACGGTCTCTCAGCCGACAGCCCCAAAGCCAACACCACCTTCAAGACCAAGCAGAAGCTTCCCTACACCCTGCTATGCGACCCTTCACAGAGCCTCATCTCCGCCATTGGCTTCAAGAAGCCGCCGAAGAGCACAACGCGCGGTGTCTTTGTTGTTGATAAGGAGGGCAAGGTGCTTGCGGTCCAGCCTGGTGGCCCGGCGGCTACGGTCGATGTCGTGAGGGAGCTTGTGGATAATAAGGACGGCGTGCCGAGTAAGGGGGATGCGGAGAAGGCTGAGAAGAAGGAGGATAAGGAGATGGCTGAGACGGCTGGTGAGGTCGCTGATAGTGCGGCTAAGGTGGATGGTTAGGGGGCTTGATGGAGTGTCTGCAAACGCATGTCGAGGGTGCAGGGCTGTTCTGTGTCACTGTCGCGGAGTTCTGGTCTTTGACGGCTTGGGAAAAGTGTGTGGTATACTTCATTGAATACGATTCCAGGTTTTGGCATATGTTGGCTACTCTCCATATGTTGCGACTGTTTGCTAATGCGAGATGACTAGGTCGCATGTACTCGGAGGAGCATGGCTTGGGATCGGATCCCTTTTTTGGCCCAACGCAGGAAAGCGCATCGAAGCTATCGCAGTCACGCCGTATACCAAAGTACAATTCCTACGACTAGCCCGAACCAAGACCCGGCCCCGGTCCAAGTCGAAGGCGCACTATTTGTCGTTGATACGTAGGAAAGCAATCGGGTTTCGGGCTCGCTCTGATCGCATATGCGAACTAAAGCACTCCGAGGCGACTAAGGCAAGACAGTCGAAATATACGCTATAGTGGACCAAACGGACGCTTTGACAAGTTCATGCGTGGGACACTGCCTGCTAACCTTGACTGCCTATCGTTGCTGGTGACCGGTGGGCGACTCGCTCGGAGAGTAGCACAGCCCGGATGTTCGCCAGGAAGTTGATCGATACGTCAAGAGACGATACATGCCAATCCAATACTGTGCTCGGGGTCTGAAACAGGCTGCTCAGCTTATGCAGCACCGCAGAGACGCGTAAAGAGCAACACCAAGAACGCTCCATCATGGTGGCTCATAGGTAACATTTAATGACGTCACTTATATCAGGCGCCCGACGAGGCAGTTTCCTAGTACATCACGCACAACGATGTCTGGACCTAAACGACAGCAGCTTCACTGACCACTGTTGAGGTGGTTTCGGAACCACCGGACGTGCAATCCAGTACCATGCTGCGCCACAGCCTTCCACGAATCTGACCATGTGTAGCGGCTGACCGGTACAAGAGTCAGGCTGCATGTGTGCGAATACTAGGCTGAGCTGCTGTGGTTTGAAGACGTAAAGACAGTGTCTGTACTACGCATTTACCGTTTCCGGTGAGTTCGTCTTGCCCCATATGCGTCGAGTATTGGATCACCGCTCAGCGGTTGCTCATTGCAAGAACGATACTGACAGGTCGCAAACTTTGCATTCGTAGAAGCATTCCATATCAATATTGAATTGATCGTGGTTTACAGTAACTAACGGTCATCTACGAGATTTGAACGCTTTACTCGTGGAAGACATCTTCGTGATCCATGGGTTCTCACAAGCTGCTTTTCTTGTCAGAGCAACGATATAATGCGGATATGACATCCCTTGCAGAGTGGCTGCGCCACCCGCGCAAGGTCTAGGCCTGGTATGAACGAGCCTGCCCCGTCCCATCAGCAGGTCTTGACCAGTCGAGCGCGTTAGTGTGTGCTGTGAGCGCTCTCCGGTCGCTCAGTTGTCGCCACACTGTGTGTGGCACAGCAAGCAGGCAACCTGGTGAGGCTCTGAAGTCTAAGCCTGATCGAACTCAGCCCCGCCTCGATGAACCATACTACTATACTAGCCCTGATCTCCTGCAGCGTTGCGTAATATACGCGAATCTCGCCTTCCACCTCCCATCTCTTGCATTGTTACCGCTATGGACAATCAAAGTTCCCCAGCGAAGATGGATCTAACCAGTAAAGCCAAGAGACTGTTCTCTCCGCGCAGTAAGTCACTAAGTCTTGTAGCGAAGATGATTTGCTCGAAGCTAACAATTTGTCGAAGGTGATCGCACCGTAGCAATCGACCCGACGCTTCCTACCCAAGTCTCTGGCCAAATGGATGAGAACGACGAGTTACTCAAGACCAAGACCAAGCGGCAAAAACGTACATTCACCTCCGCGTGCCCTAGGTTCAAACAGTTCCTCAAGTCTTATCTGCCGTCCAGCAAACCGAGATGCGATGCTCCTACACTGCCATGTAAGCTACGACGCAGCTTCACGCCAGCCAAAAAGAACGAGAACTTCCAAAGAAAGGTAGATGTCTCCATATGGGATGAAGGTCGCTCTCAATGGTCCAGAGTCAACACGGGTGTTGTTCTAGTGGATACGCAGAGCAAGTACAACTTGATCACTCCCCAGTTTCTCAGGGTATTTGGTTTATCACCAAGCCCCAGCACCGAGCCAATCAGAATAACCCTCGGAAACAATACTGAGGTGACATGCCTTGGTCAGGTTGAGGCAAGATGGTACTGCAGCGATCCTCGAAAGTTTCCCAGCTTCCGACCACGATTTGAAAATTCGATATTCCAGGTGGTTGATCTTGAGACATTTGAACTGGTGATTGGGAGCGATACTATCATAGAGCTAGGGCTCTTGCAAGGAAACCGCGAGTTCTTTGGTGCCTATCGGACTTTACAGCCTCGAGTCGATTGTACGTTCGTGACCGCAAACTGTGAATCGTTACTGACGCGAGACAGCTGCCACACTCGCTCAAAAACAGAGAGAGGCCGAAGAGAGACGCAAGAAAGAGAAAGAGAAGATGAGGCAATATGAACAGCAACAGGTGAGCCGTCAAAGCTCTGGTCCATGGCTATGATACTGATTTGGACAGGCACAAGCAGCCGCGGCTCAGAGACGCTGACCCCCCACCCTGAACATACTACACACACGTATACATCCCGGATTGGGTCCTTCGGTACGCTCAAAGATTGTTTCGGTCGCCGATTCCAGTTGACGTAGGGATGACACGCCAACAATGGACGGGGGCCGGACTGCGACGAGATAAAGGTGACGGTGTTGGATATTGTTTAGATTGCAAGTTGGGCTGGACTGAAGTGGAGCGGGGTGGGCTTTAACTGAATTGCTCCAATGGCTAAGTAGCCGAATGAGTGCTGTGCCGAAGTTGGTGGCGCACGCATGCAGGTGGTTACAACGCATGCCGCCTGGCCACAGTTTTCCTGCAGCGTATACGACCGACACGGATTCTGCCGAGGCTAAGCGAAGGAGTTACGGGGTAATCAGTCACCGATACTGCCTTCTTCGAATATGTTAATGTCTCCATTTAGAAAGGGTAGTTTCTTTTTGCGATTGAATTCAGATTAACCCTTCTCCTACAGTGCTCCTATCAGACCCAACAAACACGACCTGCACAGCAGCAAACCTTAAGTCTCGTCAGTAGGTGAGCATTGAGGGGGGAAGTGAATTTACTCACGCAGCTGTAATAGCAAACACCTCGGCGCGTTTCGCATTGGCCAAACCCATCAAGCAAATAGAAACCAGAACATTGAACCCAGCAATGATCCCGAGTCGAGCAGTCATGGACTGAACGCGATACAGCACGGCAATGGACGCTATCGGTATGAGAGACGCGAGGATACTGGTGATCCAGTAGGTAATGCGATAGATAGTGCTATCTTCGTAGCCGACCACTCCATGAATGCGCGAAGGTTTCTTCATCCGAGCACAGCCACACCTGAAGAGATTGGTGATGGTACTCTCCGCAGCCCACACGGAAAAGGCGTCCTTCTTTGCGCGAGGACATAACGTCACCAGGTCCGGCTTGTAGGACTCTCGATTGCAGGCAGAGCCCCAGATTTCGCCGTCTTCTCCACTCAATGCGTTTTCGCCCATTTCTGGGGAATGGAGATAGTTTTGGATGTGGTGGAGATCCCAAGTACTAGGCTGAGGGTACTTGAGAATCTTGGCTTGTTGTACTAACGCTTCATCTGACGTAGTCAGCTTTATGCGTCCGCTGGAGAATCTCTAAACACACTGTACTCTTTGAGCGTTTCTCTAATCTTCATGACCAATTCCAGTTGTTCACCTGTGCCGGTTTTCTCGGATTCACGGAGCCAGAACCAATTCAGTGCATGCGCTTTCCTCGTTTCCGACGGATCAATGTGGTCGGCCAACTGCCGCTCTCGTAGCTTGTTCTCCAGATACGTGAGCTCAGCCTGCATGTACAACAGGTTCTGAGCATTGAGAGCCCCAAACCTGCGGAATATAGCGAGCTCAGGTAGTATCTCCATCTGCGCAGCCAGTTTCGGGTACCCTTTAACGAAACGATCAAGAGGATCTTGCGACGACATTGTTGTTCTTTCGTGGCCAGATAGCCTTCATGCGTGTCTCTCCATATAGGTGTCGCTCATTGCGCCCATATATCTTGAACTTAGCATTCGAATGTGCGTCAGAGCCTCCACGTCATTCAACACACCATCTGCAGTTGACAAGCCATGCGCATGAAGAGGGCAGAAGGACCTCTGAGTGAAGCTGCATACATCTGCAATGTCAAGCAGCCCTCAGCCTGAGGTGCAGGCGTATATTCGTCAGGCATACACATCGTTCATCACTAAGTTATACTCACCCCTACCACCAGTGATAAGCCACTTCTGAACATGAAACCTGGACTCTTCTGGATCTTTGCGAAGTCGGTTAAAATCGTCGCTCGAACGTGTCGATGTTATCTTTCTTTCCGCGACGAAACAGTCTTTATCCGGGAAGGTGGAAGCACAAGCGAAAGTACTTTGGATATCGCAGAATGACGAATCAAATAGAAGGCCAAATGAGTAGGCAGCCAAGAGAACGCATCATGGCTACGCTGGTGTATGTGAGATTCCAAGGTTTCGCAGCCTGCTGCGGCTAAGGTTGCTCATGCGTGCTGGCGCTAGCACTAGTGGTTGCCTCCCGGGCAGGCACCTGCCAGTCGGGCCACGCGTGCATCGCAGTCCGCCTGCGATCAGTTCCACACTACACGAATAACACACCTGGAAAACCTATCTCTTCCACCCCATCTGTCACTTCGCATACCAGAGGAGAGCAACTGAGATGAAGAATATGACCGTTTCGAACATTAGAATTTAGCTGACGAGGCTACACTTCAACACTGATCGGTAGAGGACATGCGCGGCTGCGCCCTGCTGATCACTCCAGGAACAGACAATGGTTGCCTTCTTTCAGGCTGTGACGCAAAAACATTCGAGATCGATCTGCCCCGGTGACTCAAGTGCTTGTCGAAGGAACCATGACTGCGCCACTATAGAGGAAATCGGAAATGCGGGCTCATTGGGTTTGACACGCCCAACAACGCCTCAGAGCTTCCATGTCGCTCGAGTTTGTCATATGCGCAGTCCTTCAGGGTCATACAGAGGTCCCGCCTGCGCAAAGAAGCTTGTGCCTGGGGCTATTGGTCGCTTTATAGGCGGAAGGTCCTCCTCGTGAAGTTCCTGGAGGACTCTATTATCACAATCGAAAAGCACACTTAGATCCAACTCGCATCAACACCACCATTGCATCGTCGCACAAAACACGAAACACGAAATACTACCCGCTACTTAATTGACTACGAAAAATGTCTTGTTGGGGACTCTCTAGGTTGTTGTCATCTGGTGTGCGTTACCCTCCACCGTCATCATTCATTGTTAACGAGATCTAGCGAAGACAACGAATCCCTCAGCCGGCCCAAATCGAGATCTGCTCTCGAACGAAGGGTAGTTTGGAAACCTGGGAGGTAGCTGTCCTCTCATGCGATCCAAACACCACGGAAAGCATCATTTCACGGCCTATGCTACAAGTACTGGATGTTCCAGTGCATACGAGCGAAAAATCTGAGTGCGTTCTCGCCAACCATCGAGGCGAAGGGGTGGAAGGATACGTCGACTTGACTTGGTGCTTCGGAAGCAATACCAAACATATACAAGAGACCCGGTTTTGGGTAACGACAACAGAAAATCCCGCCTACGATGTGGTACTGGGGCGAGGGGATGCTGAAAAGTTCGGTCTCGTGAAGTTGAGAAGACACTTCTGAGATGTCACATATCTCAAGCGTATATCGCTTCGACTCCAAGACCATCTCTTATTCCTATCTTATCTTGTCGCTGCGTAGAATCCTGTATTGGACAACAGACATGATGGTCCAAGACGAGCTTCAGTTCGCTGACCTACTACTGTCTTTTAAACCGTACTCACGCCGAACCTCACTTCCTAGATAAAACCGGGGACTGAGTAGGCTGTTTTGTTTACCATTTGTTTCCTAGCCTTGCATTTTCTACTTTCATTACGGTTATGCTGGTGTTTTCCTTTGCGTCCTTCGTTTGTAGCAATAATGAGCACTTCACCCAATGTTTGGGCATTCGCTCCACTTGTCAGCAGGTTTTACCCCATTGCTTTTGAGGAATTCATGTCGTACTGCTGATAACATGATGCTCACTGCGAAGAGAAGTAATAGGCATGGTAATGTGATGTCGATTTTCTTTGCGCGTAGACTACCGGTGTATGCCTAACCTCATAGCTTCTCCATCGACGAATGCATACGGCATTTACATAATAGCGAAACGAGCCGTCAGAAACCCCCAAGTCCTGCTTCCATGGAGGACATACCAGCTGACCACTCAGATGTATGAGTCCTTTTCCTTTCCACTCAATGTGATGGCTTATCTGGCTTGCTATTGGAAGGACCAACATCGATGTCGGCATTCAGAAAGCCCCCAAACTGGGAGCCCTCACCGAACTGCTCGTAGGAAGGCGGTAGTGTAGGCCTCCTCACGGGTGGGATCGAACAGTCGGCAATGACATTAAGGTCCTCAAGGCTGGTGTTGGCGGCCTCTACCTCCAGGTCATCGGGATCTTAGGATGTGGTCAGACACATTAATCATAGCCTCATTGCACATGACACGTACGAGTGGTGTGACGGCCTCTTAGGCGTCGAAGTAAGACGCAGCCAAGCGAATCATGGTGGTGAAGACCAGCTAGGGTAGCAACGGTACTGAAGACACCAAATATACCAAAGCATATCTGCAAGGCAAGCTCTGTAGAGCTGTCTGCGTTGGACATGAGGTAGCTTATTGAAGAGGTACAAGCGACAAGAGGGCGAAGTAGGTAAGCAGTGAGGTAACTGAGACCAGAAGATAGTAGTAAGTCAAGTCACTGCAAGTACCAAAGATGACAAAGACTTAATTGGAACAGTTGCAAGCAGATGGCATCATTAGAGGACGTCCGTACCCTCATGATCTTATAGCATTTTTTCGATGGTACGTACTCTTTGGGCACCATGAAGATGTCGCATGAACCTTTCTTCCATCATCATTGTTGGGGTACCTGCTCCCTTTTATGTTCGATCTGAGTCCGACGACAGGCGCTGCTATCGAAGAATCTCAGGCTCAAAGGAGCTGTTTGCGTCAGCGTGTCATGTAGGAAGAGAACAGAACACCACCTAACACCGACAAGGCGTTGAAGAGATGGCATGAAGCACCCAATGATCATATACATGCCCAAAATAAGACATCCAAGTTATGAGTTCTGGGAAAATGATTGGATAGTACATACACCAAGAGATTTCCCCGGTGAACAAAGTGCGTCAGTAGTGCAAATGAGGCTCTCACCGGTGCGGAGAACATTGACATAGCCCGATACCCAGCACGCACAACATCAGATTTGAGCTGCAATGACGTACACAAGTCAGGCAAGGCCAATCAGAGAACCTATCGTCTCAGCCTCAGGCAGAAAAACTCCAGCGTGCCGAAGTCTGGCCTTTTTTGCAGAGTTCAGCCTTGGCAATCGATTGGACATGGAGAGGCCAACGCCACCTACACGTGCATAAACCCCTCAAAGTTCACCATCAGTATCCACAAGAACCGGTGTCGAGAAGAACATATGAGGCGCATGAGTGTGAAAGAGCGAGCTCTGTACTCAGCCTGCGTAGTCAAGGCGTATTCCGAGGCATACCCGCCACAAAACCAAGGCAGACATGGAAAGACGTCACGCATCACAGCTTTGACATCAAAAACCAGACTAACAACCATGTGACAGTAACAAAGATTGAATATCCGGGTATCAAACATCCTAGCTCCCCTCCCTCCCCGGCCTATACGGAATATACGCATCCCCCACCTCCGGTATAACAGCATTGCCATCAATTTCCACCGGCGCAATAGGTTTCCTCGGCACCCTCGCCAACCCAGCAAGTTCCGTCGCTCCTTCTCCATTCCCCAGACTCAGCCCAGGCGTTGTACTTCCATATGCCGGTGCAGTACTAGCGAGTTTCTGACGCTCAGCTTCTGTAGCATCCATCTCGACGTTCCATTCGGGGGTTTCGTGCGGGTTCTGTGACGAGTTGGCGTAGTGGGCTGCGGTCGTGCCTTTGGGTATGGCGTGATAGGCGGAAGGGGAGTGGTTTGCGTGGTCGTCGATGGGTCTTGTTGGGTCGTCGTCTTTCTCGTCGCCCATGTGCTTTGAGGCAAGGGCTGCTTTCCTGTTCTTCTTTCGTCGCCTCCATAGGAGGAACAGTGCTAATGCTCCGAGGATCATGACTAGTGGGACGACGGTGGCAATAGCTGCTATGGCACCTGTTGAGATGCCATTTCCACTGCCATTATTGTCTCCACCACTTCCTCCTCCTTGGCTTCCGCTGCTGTCGCTTGCGGATGCACCAGTCGCTGTGTTCGAAGCAGTCGGGTTCACACTGCCGGTATCACTGGGCTGGTACCTCAAGTGCAATGCAGTGATACTCGGCGTCGCGCTTGCCGGCCAAGATCCACCAGCGTATGTCCTCGATTCGTTCTCTTCCGCGTCCGCCTCTCCACATTCAACAACTGGGAAGTTGCCACTGCCTCCCGGTCGACATCCATCTCTTCCATCTGCCTGAAACCCATTGGGGCAACACTGCAACCCAATCTCTCCGTCAATCCATCTGTTATCACTACCCTCTCCATTCGCGTCTGTTTGTGTAGCAACGGCCGTCCAAGACGCGGGGCATGCGGTAGCGGGCGAGTAGAATGCGGATGGCGATGGATAGATATTCGATGTCACCCAGGGCATGCAAGCGGTGTTTATGCTGAAGGGTATCGGGTCCCCGTCTTCTTCAGGAAAGACACATGTCTCGCCCCATGCGACGGCGCCGTTGAGATTGCGTAGGGTAGCGCATGCTTGAGGTGGTGCAGTTGCCCATGCTGTGTCCCAAGTGTGTTGTAGGCTTCGCGATGTAGACGTCATCGTACTATCAAGGGACTTCCAAGCTTACCACAGCCACGGCCGTGTTTCTGGGCAATGCTGCTAGCTACGAGAATAGAGCTAGAGATTGAAAGGATAATAATGCCAGAGAAAAATGGCAACGATGCGCAATGGCTTCACAGCAATTACTGAACACCGAAGACACGCCGCTGCACCGGGGGAATTAAGTACGTTATTCCCAAAAGCCCATTCATCATCGGAATACATCACCAGGAACACAGCCTTGCCAGACCCACTTGCCGCATCTTGGACTGTTAGAGGCGTGGTGGTGTGGAGAGAATTCGATGATTTCATTCGGTGGCAACGGGCCGGCAGTTCACCTCATAGGTTGCTGTTCCTGGGCAATCTTGGCAACTTAGCCTCGTGTAGGCTAGTTTGGTTGATCTCAGTGATTTAGTGATCGATATTTGCCTCGGGCATGTACAGTGGAGTCTGTGTTGCTGCCGTTGGTGGAGAGGTGCCGGTTTTGGAGTGTGCAAAGGATTTGGCATAGCCACTGTACTTATCATCACGCTGCACCAGCGGGCTGGTAGTGAATTTTGTGTTCTATTTTTGAATTTCCGTTTATGTACAGATAGTGGTAGTATGCAAAAGCTTGTTTCGAACGGATAGTTCGGTATATGGTATACTAGATCAATTCCTTCATAGGCTGGCAGGACTCACCGGCTATGCTTTGTAGCCAGCCTCCGCCAGACCCTCCTTCAGGCTCTCAATCGCCTTGGTGATATCCGGTCGGTTCGGGTCGGTGACGCTGACGCCCATGTGTCCGAAGCGAATGTACTTGGTTGCGATCTCCTTGTGCAGACCACCAGCGAAGATGACACCCTTCTTCATGAGGTTGGGCAGAACATCCGGAGGTGTCATACCTTCGGGTAGGTAAATGGCGGTCATACCAGTGGCCTGGTTCTCAGGCTTGGAAGCAAGCTGCTTGAGACCGAGATCAGCAACAGCCTTCTTGACCTTTTGCGACGCGGTCTTGTGTGCCGCCCAGTAGTCTTCAACGGGTCGGGCGAGGATCTGCTTGAGTGCAGTGTCGAGCGCGTGGATGAGTTGTGGGGAGGGCGTAGCGAAATAGGACGCCTTCTTGGCTTCGTAGTTTTGCATGACTGCGGTCACGTTAGTTCCGCTGATGCGCTTGTGCTATGATTTTGGAGGTACTCACTGGGCAACCAGTTCTTCCAGGAACCGAAGTAAGAAGTTGGTCGTGTCTTCCTCGCCTTGAACCTCTCAATCGCTCGGCCAGACACCATCATGATGCTCAGACCAGCTGGGCAGCCAATGCCCTTTTGCGAAGCCGTGATGACGGCATCGAGTTTCCACTCGTCGAAGCGAATCTCTTCGGAGCCAACACTGCAGACACCGTCGACTACGACCAATGTCTCGGGGCTGACCCTGTGGACAAGCTCGCTCAATGCCTTGATCTCGCTGAGCACTCCAGTCGACGTGTCGACGTGGGTGACGGTCAGGATCTTGTACTCCTTCTCCTTCAGTGCCTTCTCCACCTCATCGAGTTGTGGTCGGTCGCCAATGGGCGCTTTGAGCTGTGTAGCCTTGACACCGTAGGTCTCGAAGCAGTCGGCGAACGAATCGGCAAAGTAGCCGGTGTGTAGGACGAGCACCTCATCACCGGGCTCAACCAAGTTGGCCGCTACCTGGTCCCATCCGAGTGTGCCAGAGCCAGAGATGACGAAGGGTTGCGCAGCAGGGTCGCTGGACAGGAACAGCTTGCGCAGGTTTCCGAGGACTTCGCTGAAGGTGTTGACGAAGGGTTGACCGACATGCGATTCACTAATGAGGTTAGCAATTGCGAACAGCATGAACAGTAAATGCCATGGGTGTGTCTTACCTGTAATGGCTCATAGACGAGAGTACGGCATCGTCAAACTCAATGGGCCCTGGAATGAGCAGGGCAGGGTGTGGTGCTTGGCTCGACATCTTCTTGGGTGGTTCCGGCGCAAGCTTCTTGACCTGCTCTACTTCCTTCTTGATTTCCTTCTTGGCTTCCTGCTTGAACTCTTCGGCCTTCTTGGGAGGTATGCGGTTGCCTTGTTCGTCTTCGATGCGGGCGGTGCGTTCAGTGGAGAAGGGAGTGTTCAATTCGAGAAAGGGCTTCGAGTCTAAATGCTTGGAGATCTGTGTAAGGCGGGAGCCAGCGCGCGCACGAGGTGACGACATGCTTGGGCGGGGTTGAAGGCGGCTGTTCACGGCTAGGAGACGCAACCGCGGGGCTGCAAACATCCGGTGATCGGAGACGCGCGATGGATGAAAGTGGCTTTGATAGACACGAACGGTTGCTGCGTTATGCCAATTGCGACAATGTGCGATTACTTGTTCGTGTTCGGGAGTCGAGGACGCGTCAGAGAAAAGAAAATTAGTTACTGATAGTAATGAGAGACTGGGAAGGAATTTGGAGATGCGATTGACAAATAAGGGGTCTATGGATGGCCGCTCATAAATTTACGGAACGAAAAGACACTTCTACACGCACGGATGCGGAGCCGGGAGTTGCTGAATCGTGGGGTGCCACGGGTCCGCGATTCGGTCGCGTGGCGGGTGAACATGCGCTCGTCACGTGCTCGCGAGAAAACGGCTGGACTTTACTCGGCAGGGATGTTTGTTATGATCGGGCCCACTCTCGTGCAGCATCAACACTCGAGCGTCAACACGATACCAATTCGCTATCAATGCATCCTAGCAGCGCATAGACAGCTCGATACAATTATACGACAGTTTATTTGACGCTTTTACCAAGACGATGCGTGTCACACGCGCCCGCGCCCAACAGGGCAACGATGATGCGACCGACGCGACCGAGCGTGCACCCTTGAATCAAATTTCCTCAAATGCATCGCCCAAGCAGACCCGCTACGATGACGAGGAGCTAGTCCCGAAAACACCCGCGAAGACACCCGCAAAGACTCCAGGAAGGAAGGCGAAGGGCAAAGGCCGGGCGAAAAAGGGAAAGAAGGGCAAAGCGGCTGAGGAGGATGAAGAGGAGCAGACCGGAGCCGCACCTGAAGAGGAGCAAGCCGCAGATGAAGCGCCCACGAACGAACCAACTGGCGACGATGTTTCCAAAGACGCTTCCGATGGTGAGTTCGCAGCCGCTCCAGACCAACAACCGTGGACTAATGGTGTACAGGAGCCTCAAAAGCCCCCGCAATCACCGAGCGACCCGTGACTCCAGCGCCGCGACTGACACGCCGACAATTGGCTATGCAGGAGGAGGAAGCGAAACAAGCGAAGCTCAGCGCCCAATCACACGAGCCAGAACCAGCTCCAGTCGCAGAGGAGGTGCCTTCGACTGTGGAATCGACCGCAGAAGCACATGCGCCCGAGGAGACATCGTCCGAAGATGCAACAACAGGCGCAGAAGAAGCGCAGATTGAGAGTGACCCACAGGAACCGATACAGGAGGTTGAAGCGCCAGCTACGGTAGAGCCTGTAGAGGAAGCGCAAGATGAGCCCATACCGGAGGTAGAGGAAGCGCCTCAAGAGAAAGCCGATTCTGTGCAGCCAGAGCATACTACCTCAGTACCGCGCATCGATGAGCCCCATTGCGAGGAGCAACCCGTCGAGGCAACAGCGACTGAGGAGGACTCGTCTGAGGATCAAGTGCCAGAAACTGATGCTGAAGTCCCCGCGCCCTCAGTCGAAGTGAGCTCAGAACCGGAGCCCAAGACACTGGTAGCCGAGAGGCCCAGCGAAGATGCCATGACACCACTTGGGAGCCATCCGTCCAGCCGACGAGCGTCCCGCAGCCCCTCGAAATCGCCAATGCGACTGGAGGAGTCTTTTGGGGCCATTGATGCGCTTGAGGAGGCACTGGAGAATGTGACCTCAGTGACCAGCTTCAACCATGCGAATGAAATGATGTCGCCTCAGAAGGCAGAGTTTCCAAAAGCAGCTACCACACAGACGATGCGATCGAAGGCGCTCGGAAAAGGGCCAGTGCCTGCGCCTGCTACCAAGCTATCGAGGACACCCAGTGTTGCTGCGCCTAAGAGCATGAAGCCAGTGAAGTCTTCGATGGCTCGCGCATCCAGTGTCCGCACAGCGCCTAATAAAGATATCAGAATAGATTCCACGGATACAGTAGATTACCTTGCCTCGAAACGCCGGCCGATCAGTATGTCATTCCCCACACCTGCAGCACCACCAAAGGGCCGCGCACCCACAAAGGCCACCTTCCAGCTTTCAAGTAACGATGTTGTCGCCAAACTGAAGGCCCAAAAAGAGGAGCGGCAGAAGAGAGAGACAGAGGGCGTGGTTCGCAAACCACGCCCGATTAGCATGCC